AACTGCTCAAGTTTTTAAAATGCTGATTCTGAAGAATCCAAACAATATAAACCCCAACATAGTTATTTATTGTTGCTTCTAACTTTTTTCTGGTTCTCCCTCTTTTTCCCTTTGTCCATCATATCTTTGCATTTTTGGACAGGGGTTAGAGTGTTTTTTGAGTCAGCATGGGAAGGAAGAGGCAAAAAGCTGTGAGGGAGGAAAAAGCTTTCATTCATATCACCATAATACTCTATTCATGAAACCCCATGTGCTTTTATTATTTAAAGCGCTCTCCCAGCACAGAAAGCTCCATCCTGTCTCATTGTGGAGCCATCATCTGAGGAGCTATTTCCACAGAGGCAAAGAATAGTCCCATTTGTGAAAAACTGATTATCTAAAATAGGACCCCAGGGCCTCGGTGGAGGGGAAGGCTGGATTCCACAGAGTTCCACATCCTACTAGTGGATTAGGATTTTTTTCCCCATTTCCTTAATCTTAACTCTGCTTGATACTAATAAAGAAGGCTTGAATAAGAGCTCTCAGACAATACAGACTTTAAAGTATCTGCATGGAAATAGGTTTATCGACCGAGGGCAAAGGCTAATAGGATTGTAGCATTTTGTTTAAATATCTCTTCTCTATTTGCTTTCCTTTATTTTTGTATCTGATCGCAAAATGTGGTCTATCTTAAAAAATGCCAAAAAATTTTCTTTTTATAATGCTGCCCAAAGTTAACCCACATTTCCCTGCTGTCTAGTATTGTTTGGTCATATAATCTAATTTGGCTCGACAAATCTGCCTTTTGTTGCTTCCAAATCATATGAAAACCAGATTAATTGAACATGTGTCGTTTGAAATGCCAACATCTCAGCACCTTTATCGCTCACAGGGGTGGAGCGCGGCTGACACTCTAACAAAGATGGGGGACGCCATCAAAAGAGCGTGGAATATGAGGTCAGGACTTGGAGATAAAACCACTCTGATGTACGGTGTAAGAGAAAGACCTCAGCCGTCACATGTACTGTACGTGCCTAATCAGGACGAGGATGCTAAATACAGGCAATCAAGGCGGATTCATCAGAGCTTTCTTTTCTTGCCAACGAGGGCAGGGAACTGTAATTATGTAGACAGCAGCCTCTGCGACAGCCACCCGCGCTAGTTGTAATTTTGCCCAATTTACACTTGGAGCCTTCAAAGAGCCTATAATTTCGATGCCTTCAGCATGGTGGTAATGTTAGCACAGACGGATGCACCTTTTGTGCTAACATGAAATGAGCACACGTGTTGAAAGAAGAACAGCGAGGAATTTTTCAGAGAAGATATTCCCTTTTAAATTATGGTAAAGTAACCTTAATAATAGGAAATTTAGGCTACTTTGCAGTTTTATCTTAGCTTTCAAACCAAGCTGCCCCCATATGGAAAAGTAATTGCACCCTAAACCTAATAACTGGCTGTACCACCAGTGACAGGAGGAAATGGCATCCAGTGTTAACAGTAACTGATAGTGAGTCTTTTAGATCCAGGTTTTTAATGCTTCTTGTACTGTCTGTAGCTTAGAACGCACAATGTAGGGTGAAATATAGATAATTAAGAAAATAAGAAAAAATTAAATTCAATTGGTAAACATGGTGCCAAAATATACCTAAAGTGCTCATTCAAAAGGCTGTCTAGATTTTATCTAGTAAGACTTCTGAAAAATGTTTTTGCTTGATTATTTTTCCACATATTTTGGCAGGAATTGGTCAGATCCTGCATTATATTTCCTAAATGATTTGGATTTTAGCATTATACTTTGAAAGAAATATTTACATAACAATTTAAATTACATGTAATTAGTTAGAGGACAAGAATTTTCTTTTATGAGCTGTTTTAGCGGTGGACTTGATGCTTTACTATTGATCACTGTCCATATAACCAGCCTGCTGCATAAGTGTGCTTAAGTTTAGGTCATAAACAATCTCTGATAATTTTCTTGTTAAAAGCTGAATATTTCTTCCGAGTGTAACAACATTCATATATTATTTGCTTTGTTTTAAGCTTGGGAGATATGGTTGAAGAAACTAGCTTGCTTAATGCTTAGTGAAATCCATACATGGAAAAGAAAGTGGGATAAAGAGTATTTAAATTCCATAAGCCAGAATATTAATTTTGGACATTGAGGACCTATGTCCCTTTATGGTTAAATAGTTGGGGACAAAGGCATCCAGAAATAAACCCTAACCCTTTTTTGACCCTGGAATGAAGCTATGGGAATCAGAACCTTCTGACTGGCCTTTTTGGTAATCTTAGAACTATACTCTGCCAAAAAAAAACTTTCTTCAACATTTTTCTCTGAAATCACAGGAAATTTTCAAATTCCATAGACTAGAGGCTTTCATCTGAGAAGACAACATGTGCTTCCCTAATACTGGCCTACCATGATAAGCTTTCTTTTTATCAGGACCAGATAAGCGGACCAAATCACCTTTCTGCTGTGACTACACCCTTTCTTATATTTACCAGACCAGCCTCCAAAGGAAGGTGTAGATGAGGCATCCTGATCAGTTGAAGCATCCAAGCTGCAAGCTGAGCTCTTTTACTTAAGAGCAGTGACTCAAACTAAAATCCTGCTTGGCCAATGTCCTGCAACTTTTACATGTGTCTAAACACCTGTTCCAATGGTTAAAGGTACACTATGCAACCGGTGTTGATTTTCCAGCGAGACTCCCCCCAGAGGGCGAAAGAAAAAGTGCACTGTCGTAAATATGCACAGCTGTTCTCTTGGTTTCTCCGTCAAGCCAGGCGCGGTTGTTTTGAGCTTAGCAGACAGGCGAACGCAACGAATGACTAATGCTGCGTTCACACCGCAGCTGGCGCGACAGAAGCAGCGAGTTTACATGCAAAGTCAATGGTTGACGCGCGTCAAGGCGCAGCACAAGGTCCCGCGGCGCGTTTTGAGCAGCAGATCCAGCGCGTCTGAGCAGCTGAAGCAGGGAGAGAGACACAGCGCTGATGATCAGAGGCTATGATCTCTCCTCTTAAACAGTTTATTGACGCCTAAATTAACTTAAAATGCAGAAATCTGCCGGCAGAATATGCAGTTTGGATTATTTAGATCAAAAACACCTACCAGCTGCCGCGGTGAACCGCGAGGACGTGACCTGGCCAGAGGCTGCTGATGAAGGGGTTCCTTCTGTCGGCGCACCGCTGGTATGTGGGGGTCTGAGCGGCTCCGACAGAAAAAATATTGAAGGCAGGATAATAATCTGAATGAACTGACGGCACTGATTACGTTTTCAGGTGTATTTTCTCATTTAAACACATATTAAAACTACTTTATTCCAAATGATCACAGCAAATATAGCTGCAAGGCAGAGAAAGGATAGTGAAGCTCCGCCCAACGCACGTCAGACACACTTTTGCACCGCACAACCAGAGCAGCAAAGCTGCTTCAGCTGCGCGTCAGAACTAACTGGTTCAAGCAGCAAAAATTAAGCAGCAGACACGATTTTGCTGCTTTTGCTGCGTGAACGTAGCATAACTGCACAAGGATCGCCACTGTGCTAGCAACGAGAATGCTTTTAACTGGGGGGTGTAGCAGTTCTCGGCCGTAAAGCAAGACCGACTCTCACGAGACTTCTGAGCCTGTGGGTGCGGGTCGGTGCACCTGCAGTTGCAAGTGCAGTATTTCCCCCACAGACCACCAGGGCGGCCGAGAATACCTTTGTTCAACCTGAAATGACTCATTTAATCATCCATAACGTTATAGAACACATTAATTAACTGAAAAATGTTGCATAGTGTGCCTTTAAACTATGTCATGATGCAGTCAAGCTTTGTAGAGCTCTACTAATGAGCTCATATAGGAGTCAGGGTTTTTAAAGCAGAGATGGACCACAAGGATTTAAGTTTAACGATGGGCAGCTCTACTTCGAGCTCCACCTGGCTGACAAAGCTCCAACCCAGCTAACTAAGCAAGAGCCAATGGAGGAAGCTCCTTCCTTATCCAGGGTCCTTTCTCCAACTGTTATAATTATAGGTGCAGCATCATCATGCTTTTGAGTGCTTTCATAACAGACATGTGTAACTTTTCATAGAAAAGGACTGAATCTGTTTATTCATTTCACATTCCATCACCAGGATATTTGATTTATTCAAAGAATCCATCTTAGTTTCTGTTTGACTATCATGATTTTTCACACCATGGTTATCAGCTGGAAAAAGGTACATTGCTCCCTCCTGGGTCAGGCGTGAATCCAGAGTGGTCTGCTTCCCTGTAACAGTCAGATAAAACAGGAATACCTGGTGACCTCTGCTCAATAGTCCTATGTGCATATTTATCTTTCCATATGATCAGGGCAAAGAAGGAAAATGTAGATACATCACAAACTGAAATGTATAGTATTTCTATAAAGAGAACAGAAAATAAGAGAATTTGTTTGGGTCAGACACGTGTTTGACCACATGACACGGCTGCCATGTTTTTTGCCGGACTCTCATTTTTCTTTCCTGCTCCTTCTCTTCCTCCTCTCTGAGGGCTTCTTAATGACTAACCTGTCAGGATTAGCATCTCTTCCTATTTCACACTGTGGTTTCCAGCGCCCTGCTCATTCTCTAATGAACAGCCCAGCTCCAAGGAGAGGACAGATGAGGTGGTGAAGACACATGAAAAGCACAAAAGCCCACATCACAGCCCTGCTTCCCACTTCATAGCCTTCGCCCCCCCACGTTGAGCCGGAGCAGTTTTTTTTCCCCCACTTCTCGCACCCTTTTAGCCACCCCAGTCGTTCCCACACTCAAAAAAAGCAAACTGGGTGTCTGTTACCTTATCTTATGTCTAACATGTAGCTTCTACTATATAAAATCATGTTTTGTGGTTGAACAGTTTTAAATCATGTAGATTTAGCATAAAATGCAACAACTTAAAATTTACTTGAATAATTTATGTTAAAACAACCTAATTCTAATGGGTTAACATTGCAAATCAATAACACTCCAAAGCAGTAGGTGGCAGTAATGAGCACATTCCCCTCTCTTGAAGGCCACGGTCAAAGGTGAGTGAGTCCCCGACTCTGGCTGGCAGAAGGAGTAGACATTTTGAAAAGAAATTTCAAGTGTGGAAGAAGGTAAGTTTAATCTTTTATCATCCATCGAACAGAAAACAATACGGCAGCAGACATGTTATAGACAGTTAGTTATTGTCCTCTTTTGCATTTTGGATTATTTATTTGTTACTGGGCGTTTTATTAGAGTGCATTAATATATCACACTGTCGCCATGCTCATAGCTAACTAAGCTTACAAGCTAGCATCCTGAGGTCGACGGCATGGTTGACAACGCGTGCGGATTCATTTACAAAATGAGCTAAGAGCTGATGCAGGCATGGCTGGTGGGGGATAATTGCCTGCGTTTGGTGAATGTAGCTGCAGCTAAAAGGCTCCAGTCACATAGGCTACATTAATAATAATAGTGGTGATGAATTTCCCCCCAATCCGAATCTTGGCTTCACGTGGAGTCCGCAGAAAGCTCGGCACTTAACAGTCATTAGCTCTAAGTTTGGAAACTACCACGGCATCTCGGCACCTTGGCGGGGTTTCTATGTCAACTCCACGTAGCATTAGCTCATCCAGCTACTAACATCAACACAGTAGTTCTTCGCACTATGGAGCTTTCCACAGTCAGATTTTATTCACTTTGTTGACGAGGGAACAAATGTGTGCTACCATAAATGTACTGTTGTGCTGTAGCCCAGCTAGGAAAGCAAATCGTTACCATATTTCAAATGAAAAAGCATTTTCAGAAATGCTTTTTCATTTTAAGAATGTGGCTGCATTGTTTGACTCATAAATGAAATTAGTAATCAATCATCCTGTTTGCATTTTAAATTTCTTCTTTAATGCTTCTCATCATTTTACTTAATTAAAATAAAGAAAAATACATTTGAGATTTATTTTTTGAAAATGTACCCCAGAAAATACATACCAAAAATAAATTTGAAATGTAAATTTTGAAAATGAAAAAGTATTTTCAGAAATGCTTTTTCATTTTAGGAATGTGATTGCATTGTTTGCCTCATAAATTAAATTAGTAATTAATCATCCTATTTCCATCTTGAATAAATGCACAGCACTCATTAACTTTGATTGAAATATGTACAGTGTGATTTATATCAGCCAACAAAATGTGGGCTAGCCTTGGAAATAACTTGTAAGCTGATTTAGGATTTGGTGGTAGATGACAATTGTTAAACTAGTCGGTCATTTCAATGCTATGATAGTTAAATTTACTTTTGTGTACCCTTTCTGTTTAAGCTAACTGCTGAATTTAAGAGGATTACAACCATCAGTTTGCTGTCAAAGTTCTTCTCCCAGCTGGATGCTCATTCTTCAAACTTGATGAGGGTGTTTGGCAAGAAAGGCGGCGTTCAAGGAAGAAAGATAAGGAGCATCATGATACCCATCACCAAGGTATGATAATAGAATAAAATAAAAATTGTCAAACCTGTACCGATTCAATATTCTAAACTTAATGCTTGAAATTTAAAGCGGAAGTTTCAGAGGGATGGAGAGAAATAAAACTAGATGGAGAGGGGTGTAATGTACTTTTATGAAGAAGGATCTGATAAAATTTTAACCTTGGGCAGATGTGACAATGTCCACTGATGTTGCAATGGTAGGTTCTGTTTCCTGGGACCACATGCTTACATTTGACATATTTCTATGATAAAATGTCTTGCTGGTACATAAAACCAATGCACCCATGGATATTGTAAGTTCATATATCATAAAAATTGTCAATGATTTTTACATTTTGAAGAATGTATTATTTAAAGTTTTGTTTGTAAAATCTTCTACCAGTTGATTAAAATGTTTTATCTTTAATTTATTGTCCTACATACTCAGACTGACGCCATTGATGTCAAAAGAGAGTGAATCATCAAAGCCCTGTGTGTGTACCTGAATGAAGAGCCCGAGAACCTTGTGAAAGAATACATGGTATGTAATTTAGTGTGTTTAAAAATGGGACCAGTATAACATATTTTTACATGTATATCCTCTATTTCCCCCTTTTTTCTGTGAAGAACACAGATTGTGGGAGCAGTGAAGCTGCAGTGATGGAGACGACATTTGGAATATTTGTCATTCGCAAGGAAGGTGCAGAGCCAGGTGATGGACCGGAAGATGTAGGTATAGTTCTGGATGGGCTCGGAAACGTGCCACTTGCTGTGGTCATGTTGTTTGCGCTTGTATATGCGCTTAACCTCAGCTACCCGCCAGAGCTCAGATACACCTTTGAAGCTTTGCAGAAGATCATCGTGGAGCTTGATGGAAACATACTCTCAAAAAAAACTCAAACACTGAAAACTCTACTTGCGTGTTAGTCACCCTCAATAGAGTAAACTACAGGTTTGGAGTTACTCTAATGGGAAGGCATTTGAAGCCATTTGAGTAGTTACTGAACTGAAAGCTGTGTTTGTGTTTTAATACATCCTGTTGCTATTTTGGGTTTACAAAATAGAATGTTTTGAAATGTTTCTTTATGCAAAGGTAAGGTTTTAAAACAAATTGTTATTTTCTAAAGAAAACTATTTTGATATGGATGCATTATGCTGTATTTTGGTTGTTCTCAAATATTGGTCTTTGCACTCAGTTGACAGGACCACTTTCTGCGTATAACTTTGTAAAGGGCTTTGCTGAAAGCTCTAAATATAGACACCTAATGACAGGGGGCTCCAATTTCCTAACTCAGGAGTTACAACTTTTGTTTGTCTATCTGTTGTAGTTTTTTTACAGACATGATGTTGGACACTGTTTCAGGCTGTATTGTTTGTTGTATTTTCACAACGTAGTCATTTTTAAAGTAAAGTGATTTCAACAAATCCAATTTAGTTCATGTTTTTCTTTTCCAAACTTGACACCAGCTGGGGGTATATAGGCTGACATGTACATTTTAAATAGCTGAATATGTATACGTTAAAAATGATTTATTTTGTGAATAATTACTTATGTTCATTTTCATAAAGTTAATCTCTTACCTAACTTTGTTTTGTGGGCTCAGCACAATAAATTCATGTACTGTACTATTTTGAAAAGTAGTTGTAACTACCCTATTAAATTATGTACCTAATAATCCTATCATACAAGTTTAAATGGCTTAAGAAAATTATGTTAGTATGTTACATTTACCTATATTTATCTAGTTGGACTGACCCCTGGTAATTAAGTAATAGTAATGCAAATACAACACGTTGACCCAACATATTTACCCTTTGTTCACTTAACAAAATTGCTTCTCGCTAAATTAATGCATTTTATTTAGGTGGAAATTATTTCCATAATTTTATTACGTTCTGGGAACAAGCTTTTTTTTTGAGTGCAGCTTCCGATGTGGAGGACAACTTAATTAATCACTGTACAGCTCTAATGAATTGACCAGCCGGGATATATTGATCCTAGGGGTATCAACGGCATGGCTTTGTGAAGTCTAATACCCTCGTCTGACATGTTGAGGAAAGAAGTGGGAAAGTGTATCACACTAAAACCTTTTCTTCACCTGAAGAGGGGGGGTCAGCTTAGAAGACATTGACTGGAGCCACTTCAGCAAAGATGTGCATTAGGTAGAAAGCAAATCCTCATCCCCCACACATCCTCCCCTCTCCTGCAGCTTGTGTTACATGTGTCACATTTATAGAAATAACATTCCTTTCATCAAGGGAATTAGTGTTATATTTCAGGTTGTCTTAAATCACAGAGGGAGCTTACAGCTGACTAAAGCGTTGTCACGCCACCGCCGCACAGGAGGCGGGGGGGATTTGGCAGTCCTCCCTGAGCCTGGATCACTCAGATCTTTTTTCTGGGCTGAGGTTAGATGTGGCGTTGATCTGAAAGGCTAATGTGATGCTGGATTATGGCTGTGAAATTGCAGTTCTGTAGGCCTCTCATTTAGCGTTATGAGCTGGACAACGCTGTTCTAACTTCTAAGAAAATCAGTGATGTAGATATGAGCTGAATGGCAGAAAACAGTTTGGCCAATGATGAATGGATGCAAGAATGAATGAATGTTTGTGTGTGTAACATTTTCCTTTGCAAAAAGGAGAAATAAAGGGACAGAAAAAAGTAGAGAGTAGAGAGAGGTCATTACTTCTCTCCTTCTAACTTAACTCATTACTTCTTTCTTACACTATGGACATGGGGGAGGCGGCTATGATTTTTAAATCTTAGTAAAAGCTATTGTTTTAAGCTGATTTCACGTCTTTATTCAAACAGGAGGCTTATTTTTTACTCAATAAAGCCACATTAGCGTACATACAATCAGGCTTCAACAATGTTAATCAGCGTGTTGAGACTGACGCAGAAAGCTGTAATAACCTGCTGCTGCATTTAGGGTCAGCTGTCGCTCTCGTCACCTGCTGATTAACATTCCTGAGCCGACTGCCTTCACACTGAGAAATGTGTCTTTTTTTACACAGATTTTCTTTGCTAATAAGGAATTCATTCTTATTCTGATTGGTTTGTGCAGCACTTATAAAGTGATTTGAAGTTAAAGGAACATTCAAAGACACAAAGGGATTCAAACAAGCATCTAATCCAAATATTTAAAAAAAAGTGAAGTAACAATATTTAGTGGTATTTTTAAAGCAATTAGTTTATTTCAGTGCAGCGGAATATTGTTGATGTGAAAGAGAGCTAAATGTGGTAACTGTCCCAGTCTTAAATGTCACCTGTTTCTGCTCCCTTTCAAAGTCCTAATGGATGAGTGAAGGAGAAGTGGATGCCACGCTCAAATTAAGGTTGAGGATCGGCCAATGTGTTCAAAGAAAGAAAGCCTATAAGATTCTCCCACTGGGATTTCTGGGGATCAAAGACTTTTCCTTTCCTCAAACTACTCACAGCATCTTTAAAGAAATTCAAAATGAATGTTTAACTGTGTCAAACCTTGGCAGTGACGGATCCTCGCCACAGCTCTTTCCTCTGAAGCTCATTGATCCTGCGGTGTTCATAGACAGATTACATTTAGTGCTTTTACTACAGAGGTCATGATTGTCTAAATACCTGGCAGAAAACAACATGAAAGGATAATTTAGACTCTTTAAGGCTTTAATCAGTTATTTTTTATTCACAGACTCATTCATTTTAAAATAATTTTTCAACTATTTAAAAAGGTGCCCACGCTGTTGTTTCTCATTTCTTCTATTCACATTTTTAAGCAAGCTGATTACAAACACCTTCTCTGGTCTAATGACTTGACCAAATGTTGAATCAAATCATTTCAGTCGTGCAGACAGATTAAAATTCAGCAACATACATTTGAATATAATTGTGGTTCAGATATATTAGAAGTTTAGTTCATTAAAATGACATTTGGAAAGTTCTTAAACTAATTCTTTTGTAGTTGTTTTTTTCCAGCAAAACCTACTATTCAAGCATGAGGTGTGTGTGGAAAGGAAAGTCTTCCTTTTAACCAGAGGAAACTGCCAGCAGAACCTGCTGGGTGTGATAAACCGGCTGCTCAGGCCTGTTAATTATTTTCTATGTTTAATAGATATCTGTGAAGTCAAACTGATGTTTATATCAGTTAGATTTCCATCCATCCATTTTCTTCCGCTTTATCCGGGTCGCGGAGGCAGCAGTCTAAGCAGAGATTCCCAGACTTCTCGATCCACGCACACCTCCTCCAGCTGCTCTTGGGGGGACCCCGAGGAGGCACAAGGCCAACTCATAGACATAGTCCGTCCAGTGTGTCCTGGGCGTTCCACGAGGCCTCCTCCCAATGGGACATGCCTGGAACACCTCCTGAGGGAGGCGACCAAGAAACATCAGGACCTCAGCTGGCTCAAAAGGTACGCCCAGCCACACTGGCAAGGAAACTGATTTTGGTCGCTTGTAAAAGTGATCTTGCCCTTTCGGTCATTACCCAGATCTCATCACCATAGGTGAGGGTGGGAACGTAGATTGATTGGTAAATCGAGAGCTTTGCCTCCTAACTCAGCTTCCTCTACCCCATGACAGTCTGATACAACGACTGCATCACCACCGACGGCACACCAATCCCTCTATCTCACGCTCCATCCCTCCCCCACTGGTGAAAAGGGCTCAGTTAGATTTTAAGAATAAAAATAACACAAAAAAGACAACACTAATAAGGGTTTTTCCCCTTTATGCATCAGTTCAATAATACAGTAATAACAAAGTCTGACCCTTTTTTTACAAAGTTAGCAAGTTCTTATCAAATCTTTATTAAATTGATCACTGTAAGATCAAGGCTGGTTTAGCTTTTGCAAAGGCTGTTTTATTTCTTTGCACAATTGATGTCAGTTCTTTCACAGGTTTATTCACCCGTCCGCTTCAGGCACAGCAAGTCCAATCTTCTCTGTAAATTAAATGTTAAAAGGGCTACATGGAGAGAAACGTTGCCGTTCAACTTGTAATTGAGAGACTAATTCAATGTTATGTTGCAAAATAAGCAGGTAATGAAAGTAACAGTTACTGGAGACTTTCTGCTTTAATCTCTGTTGCTGCAGAATCTCAGGTCAAACACTGAAGAAGTTGGGTTGGAGAAATGGTGCTTTCTAAGTAAGAGTTAGAAATTATCCCCAATTGCCAAAGGGAAGGAGGTTAGAGAGGTTTCCTTCAGAGATGCATGATTGTTAAAGAGAAATTTTCTAAACCAAATTGTATTGCCTCTCTTTGATGAAGATGAGATGTAGCTGCTTCAGACCGACAGTCTGAAGGAAGGTCTTTGAACATAACTCTCAGTAAGTGAGCCACCAAATTTAATTTGCTTGTTAACGTTGCATTTTGTGAGTGAATCTTTGCTTTTATATTAAGTCTATTTTTCGACCCTTTTCCTCGAGGTCTATTGCTCTGCATATTTAAGATATCCTCCTGCTTCAAATGATGGATGAATAATAGGCATTTGCTGAACTAAAATGATCAGAATTAGGGGCATTCAAGTGGAGTAACACTGAAAAATGAAGGACAGTGTACCCAAAGGATAAGAATAAAAAAAACACTATTCTAAAGTCTTTTTTTTTTTTTTTTCTGCCACTGGCGATGCCAACAGATCTAGAGTCTCTGGGAGACTCTCTCACTACAGAGCTCTCAAACAATAGAGTCAGTTAGCGAAGTTTCCTCGCCATAAAAACATCCCTCTCACTCTTTGGCAACTCTCCGCATCCCTTCCCAGACACCACCGCTCCCTCCTGCCTCTGTTTCAGCAGCACAAGCTACATATCTACACTCATACACAACAACATGCTCTTTGAGTGAGCACAATAGTGCAGCAACCCCCCCTCCCCATCCTCCCATGCCTCTCTCATGCCTGTGCACTGGGTGAGATTATGCGCAAAGGCTGTATGCTGTGCCCCCCACCACCACTGCTGCAGGGCTGCGCCATGTGCTGCTGGCCCATGTCTGACTGTATTAAACATAAGCTGCTTTACTTGATAAGGCTCTATCCAGCTTTAATT